ATATTGATAGAAGTTTAGATCAAAAATTAAATATGGCAATATACAATTTTCATCATTTTTAGTTAATAAAAATTATAATTATTTGATTTAGCCAATCAAAAATAATTAATTTTGCGTTACATTAAGTGATAAAATTGTTTTGTTGATCTTTGCACAAATGTGACAACAAAGAATGTCCACCATGCTTGATTGACCAGGGTTGGAATCAACCAAATTCGATTGGTAATCAATTTGTCAATTGAATATTTGACTGTGGTTGAGTGAGCATAGTGGACTTTTGATAGCATAGTGGACATTCATTTTATCACTTGTGACAAAATCAATCATTGATCTTTTTTAATCTTTTTTATATTGTGAAACTTGCTATTTCAATTGAATTTAGAATAGAAAAAAATCACATGACTGCACACAAAACCCATTTTATGCAAAATCTATTTTTTTTTAATATTAATATATTGCTTTGACTTTTCTTTATATTTTGGTAAAACTTGATCGATTTGATCAATTGATTTCAATAGGTTACCTTAGAAGTAAAAGTTTAAGGCTTCTGTGATCTTGTCTGTCAGAATTGCCCTATGAAAAATAGTTTACAGAAAAGTTACAGGAAAATAAGAAAGTTTATTAAAAATTTACACAAATCTTATTCTATATGAAAAAGTTTTATAAGAAATTTTCTGTGGAAAATAAAAACATTTACAGGAAATTTACAAGAAATTTACAAAAAGTCAAATCAACAAAATCATCAAGAAAAGCATTTGTAGAAAATTTACAGGAAATTTATAAGAAATTAAATTGGAAATTTACAAGAAACAAAATTTCTTATTATTATAAGAACATATACAATAAATAAAATAATTTAGTGTGAATTAATAAATTTTTCTTTCAAAAATAAAAATTTACCAAGTGGCGCAGCAAAAAAAATTATAAGAAAATTGAAAGAAAATAAAGGAAAAAATAAGGAAGAATCTGGCCCGAAGGCCACTGAAATTGAAATACTACACAACCAAACCAAATAATTTACATTAACAAAAGGAAGAAAGAAAAAAATTGCAAACTACAACAACATGTTACAAAAGTCCATTCACAACAATAAATCAAAAAATAAAAGACTAACATTTCAATGAAAAGGAAACTCTCAGAGAAAAAATAAACTCAAGCAAAGATGAAACAAGAATGAAACTTACAATCCATGAAGTAAGGTTGTGGGAGAAACTCCAGAAATCAATCGACAGAGTTTTGACAGGTTACACAATAATTGTTTATTAGAGTTTCGGCAGAGTTTCGCATTTGGGGTTTTCACCAATCATCAGAGTTTCGACAGGTTACACATTAATTGTTCATTAGAGTTTTGACAGAGTTTCGACAGTCATTAAGAGGTTTCGCCCACAACCTTACCCATATATAATAAATAAAAAAATATGAAATTCTATATAGCTTGCCTTTCCATAAGATAATCCATTATCAGTTAAATAATCAACATTGTCCATTGCAATTGCAATATCACTAAATCTTACCTTACCATGAAATCTGCTAGTAGTATACACAATTTCATCATTTGATAATGTGCCAGTTGCATAGATTTTTAAATAAATGTCATCACTCTTAGAAATATTGGTTTTTTATCTAAATATGCATCTAAACAACTAATTAAACTGCACATGCCTTTGATACATAAAGAATTTGCAGTTCAAATGAGCCAGCAATTCATTAATTGGCAATTTCCAAAGTAAAGACTTCATAGATTCCAATTTTGGAATAAAAAGTTTTTTGAAATGGGTGTGATTATTTGTTGCTGAATCTAAATATTAAAATAAAAAAAAATTCAACAGAATTTTAAAATATACTATTTGATCCAATTCATTCTTTTTACTTGTCATCCTATATGGATTTTTGACCCAATTTTTATGAATGCTTCATAGGTTTCAGTTGTTAATCCATTTAATGCACCATGATGACAAATGGTGGCATTGATAGTATAATATCTCCACATGTGAAGTTTTGGTAAACTAAGACTACTGGATGAAAATTATCTAAATAACTTATAAAATCATGCATCCAATTAATTATCTCTTGCTACCAAAAAAAAATTAACGTGTCATGAGACCCTCTGGTAACTTATTCATTATATAACTTTTTTTTTTCATCTCACTTCGTTTGAATATTTGTTGAATAGGAACATTATCATCTAGCAAATGAATTGATTTATTTTCTTTCTTTAAAATTGTAAAATTCTAATTAACAATCTGCTTAAAACTTTTAACTAAAATGTTTAGATAAGAAATATTTTTAGTTGATACTTCATTGTATTGAGTTTTGGTGTTTTTCATTTAACAAGTTATCCAAGTTTTCACAAAGAAGTAATTGAATAATGGTGCATATGTAATTGTTTTAAGTTTAAGGGGTGAAGAAAGTTATAATGTTGTGCTAAATCTGATTTTCGAGATAATTTTCTGGTGCAAAGGTCACACTGATACATTGCGAGTAATTTAATTTATTATTTATTGTTATATATGAAATGTAAGTTTTAAAGCTTCAAAGCTTAAAAATGAGTTTATAAATTAAACTTTTTAAATAAATATATGTATACATAAACTCTAACATTTTATTCATTGAAAAAAAAAATACCTAAAGAAAAAGGTAAAAAATTAAGGTTTTTAATATTTTTATTCAAATTTATAAAGAACTTCATCAAGGAATAAAAAACATAAAACCTTCTAATGGAACTAATTCTAACTTACATTGAGTGAAGCGCACTGCGTAATAAAGACATATTAACTATTAATATTAATATATTTCGGAAAATTAATAATGTGCGTATAAAATTAGATAAAATAGAAGGAGACGAATAGGGATTTCAGCTTCTTGTATTTTATAATAACGATGAACTTCAAGCTCATCTCTAATAAGAGTATTCAAACACAACTTACTGCCTGCTACTTGAATACCGATAATGCCAAATTATCATTTTCTAATCTACATTCACCCCATAATTTTATATCATCTTCCTCTTCTTTTTGTTTAGTACAAATAACCGTGGAAGATTCTGTATACATTAATTCATAAAATTTATCATCTTCTTTACTTACAAACATAATATCAGGCCGCCTTCCTACTTTTCCATTCCCTCTTCTATCGGCACTTGCTAAACTCTGCCGTTCAAAACTAAAAATATAAAAATATATATAGCTGAATATTATACATCCGAGTAATGAAATTATCTATCCTAAGATGTCTTTTGGATTAAACTTACGTAGTAATAAATGCGGTCCCTCCAAAGGGATTATTAAATAAACAAGCATTAATTAGTGGAACAATTACATTATTTACATAAGTACTGTAGCAAGAAATTCTGGACGGAAAGCCGGATTCTGCCAAACTTGTTTTAAAGTTCCTAAAAATTTTAATGTAACTTCTTCAAGTCCTATTCACATCTTCTTTCCAGTCCATTGCATATAACAATCCATATGGTAACCTAGATGAATTTTCAGATAAAAATTCGATACGAAACCTCTACATATATTTTCAACTTCTGATATAGGAGCGAGTTTCATTAATCTTATCGTTTTCTAATATTTCATTAAATAAATATCTTGTATTAGTACATGAATACAATTAATTATAACTAATTTAACCTAGAATATAAATGCTTTTTTAAATTTACTGGTATTCCCCGAATAAGACCAGAATTATCTCTAATAACTTGACTGGCTAAAGGATCTTTCCGAGTTAATTCTCGAACGAGGATTCTATTTATATCAGAATATAAACATTGATAAAGAGGCAAAGTGTCTTTTCCGAGTTTTCTTTTTAGCTCAGTTATATTTTTTTCGAGTTGTTCTGAGCTAAGTAGTTGCGCTTTATCACTTTTAATCGCTCCCATATCGTAAAGCCCATAAACCCCTTCGAAAGCATTATTAAACTAAAAATAAAAAATAATATGTTAAATTTCAGAAATATAGCTTCGAAGCAAAATTCACCATTAAGATAATATAAATTATCAGTGCATATGCAAGGTTTAATATCGTCGTGTGGCCGTCACGCAGGTAAAACTTTGTGTATCATTTTTAACTACATAATAACTTATATTTTAATTCATCCCTCAACAGTGCAATAATCTTATCAAACAATAGGTTAATAGCGAACTAAATCTGCGTAACAGACCATAGTATATACACCCCTCTATCATTTGCAAGTGTTATTGGGTGCTGAGCTAATGGATGAAAAATATAAGACAACAAATCGATTCCAAATTTGTCTATTCTGATTTATTTAAATAGGACACACAATATCATCACATAAAATATAATTTGATAGTATCAGAGATATATAAATCTTAAAATAAATTAACCCGTGGTAAAATTCTAAAGATTCTTAATTGATGAGGAGAACCCTCCATAAACGTATTGGTGACGGAATTAACGGCGCGTTCTACAATTTCTTTTATATCACATAATTTCTTTAAAAGCACGGAATATGTACGAAATGTGCACGGGTCCTGCCGGTAAAGTGGGTGTCGGTAAAGTGACCGGTCCCCAATTTATATTAGGCCTTATATTTTGACTAGTTTGTGTATAAGGAGATTATTTCAATTTCTTACATTAGTAATGAATTTCCGAAATTGGTATAATTAGAATTTTTCAAAAAATCTTTTACGCATTAAATAATCAATCCTGAAAATCAATTTTAAGTCTTACACGCATGTATATTTCTGACCAAAGAAGTAATGCTCGAGTCAGAAGTATCAGAATTAGAAATGTGACCGAATCATTACTAGTGGAATAATGTTGGTCTCTTTTTATTGCGGAATAATGTGCTTTTGCCCTTTTCAAAGATGCTTCTCTAATTCATCCATTAATCTAGATTGTATCTTTTCTGCGTTTCGTTTTACTCTTCTAATTTTTTCTTTATCGGATCATCTATTTGGAATGAAAGGTGGTGGGAAAAAAATCTGATTTATAGCATGATTCTTTGGTCCCTTAACTCTGGTTTCAGTTTCTATCCGGATTTAATCATTTCTGTAAAATCTTTTAATGGTATATTAGGGTTAACTTTATTACACATCCTTACTTTGTGATGTTTTCGCTTAAAAGATTTTTTCACAGTTGTGCCCTTACGCATTCTTACTTTGCGATGTTCTTGCTTAAAAGATTTTTCGTATGTATTCTCTTATGCATATGTAGCCTGGGTTCTAAACTGGACGATTATGAAATGCTTGAGCTAGAAGAATCAGAATCAGAGGTATCAAATTCAGAATTAGCAGAATAAAGATTTTTAGGGGGTTTGCGAATTTATTATTATTTAATATTAATATTAATTTTATTTTACAAATTGGTGACATCGTTGGCAAACTTCACAAAATTACAAAACTCAAAATATAACTCTTAAACTATATGATATATTCAAATAAAATTTTATGTTTTAGATTCACTTTTGATGCTCTTTAAACCTATAAAGAGCCTTTTACAATTTTACTTGCAATAGATATAATACTAATTATTCATGGTGTCAATCATGCAATCCAAAGCTATTAACTGAAGGATGGACTAGTGGCAATGAAACATTAGATGAATTGATTAAAAGTACACAACTTGAAGCAACAAGATAATTCAAGAATATTTCTGATGAATTTCTTAATGAGATGAATTAGTTTTGGAGTTCTGATATCCGTAGTATCAACTGGTCAACAACTATTTAATAATTTGGCACATGATGAATATCTTGTAATGAAAATATGTAGAGGTTCGAGGCCTGGATTCTCAAACAATACACCAAAATTCTATATTGGACTAGCATTCAGATGCATGGATGCTAATCCAGATAAACATCCAATTATAAAAATAAAAATGAACAAATTAGAAAAGAGTTTGAGAAAATAGACAAAATAAAATTTCTTCCTTCAACAATTACTACAGTAATTCATCCAAATGCAATTTATACTAGCAGATTATTAAATTTTACAAACCTTCCCCAACCCATGAATTCCAACAAAGTAACAATTATTGGTAATAATGATGTTAGTTATAGTTTCTCATCTAATGGACATAAATATTTAGATTAATCTGATTATTTATATTTAATAATAATGATAAAGGTAATAACTTCTTTATCTTTTGATTTTTTTTCTTAATAATCATAATTGAGCATACTTAAAAATCTTGTGATTGGTTGATTTGTGTTGTGAGATCTTTACCATTTTTTTTTCCAATATTTTCTTCAACTCCACTGCCTCAGCTTCTAGATCATTTTCCTGTACATTAGAAAGTTGGATTAATATCAACAAAACTACCAATTTTACCCATCCAAAGAAAATATAATTTGATTATTTACTTACTTTGTTATTATCATTCCTAATATTTAAATATAAACTATAGTGACAACGAGTGATGAAAACCACCACCACCATTCTTTTGATAAACGTTTATCCTCTTTCGACTATATAGTTCATTTTCTCTTCTTTTTTCCCTTTTCTTTACGTATTTTTAATTTTTAATTTTTGAAAAAGAAAAAAAAGAAAAATACGTGTTTAAAAAAAAAAGTTTATGGTGTTGTATAAAGAATTTTTTGGACAGACGCGAATTGATTTATTTTTAACAGATGACAAAAACGTGTTGTTATGATATGGCTTTGAAGACCAATTAAAAAATATTTATATCAATACAAATAAAAATAGTATATATCTCTATTATTAACACGTTCAAAAATAGTTTGGACTGGAAACCTCAGTCTGGTCCATTGATTGCATTTAATAAAATACTAAATATGGTTAGAACGTTATACTAACGCCAATGGAACAGGAGCAGTGTTGGAAATTCGTCGATCTTATGATCTGCAAAAAAAAATTTGTGCACATATGAACACAAGAAATTTTTATT